ATGGCTAAAAGGAAGTTCCAAACATTCAGTTTTTTTACCAATAAAAATAATATATTTGTAATACCCCAATCGTATTGTCTGATGTTTAGTGGCTCAGTGTAAGCCATTTCAAATCAAATTAATCCTAGTCTAAATAGTGCAAATGAACAAGGTACAAAATAGGCCCGACTAAGTCAATGCCATTCCAGTCAAGGTGATTTATTTGAGATATATTTGTGTGTTAATGGGTAAAACATGCAGAACTTGTAATGTGGAAAAGATAGAGTTGACTTAGTGTGTGTAACAAGTGTGAGATGTGAATAGAACCAGGCGTGGTAGCTTGAATAGATGGTCCAAGTCAGTTTTTTGATCAATTATTATTACGAAAATCCTCACTTTTCGGGAGCTCTTAAATGTAAATACTACCCGACTTCAATTTATTGGATACTTTGAATGACAATACAATACGAGATTCTTCAGAAATCACAAGACCGATGCCCCTTCTAACAACCAGAGAAACAATTAATATAGGTACATAAAATGTTCTGACAATCTTGGAGAATCAGTCAAATAGCTACAGAAATGAGGAGATACAACTTGACGGTTCTTGGAATCCGTGAGACCCATTGGACCCAACCTGGACAGAAAATGATAGATTCGGGAGAGATGCTGCTGTACTCCAGGCACGAAGAAGAAAATGCCCCACACACTCGGGGAGTTGCTCTGATGCTGTCCAAAGAAGCACGTATTGGATGGGCATCTCACGGATCCAGAATCATTAAAGCATTTTTCAAAACAAAGGAGGGAATCACAATAAGTGTTATCCAGTGTTATGCAACCACCAGTGACAGCAGCGACGACGATAAAGATCAGTTTCACAAGAGGTGCCGATCAATCGCAGCGAAGTGCCCAGGAAAGGACCTCACCATCTGATGGAAGACTTAAACGCCAAAGTCGGAATGGACAACACCGGGTATGAAGATATCCTGGGACGACAGAGATTGGGAGGAAGAAATGAGAATGGTGACAGATTTACAAATTTATATGCATCCAACAAAATGGTTATAGACGGCACCACATTCTCATGCAAACGCATACACAAGACTACATGGATCTCGCCGGAGCACACCACGGAGAACCAGAACGATCATATTTATATCAATAAAAAATTCAGAAACCCAGTAGAAGACGTGAGAACCAGGGGAGGAACTAACATTGCTTCAGATCACCACCTGGCGGTTGCCAAGATGAAACTGAAGCTAAAGAAGCACTGGACAAACAGCATTACAATCATTCAATACAGCCTTCCTTAGATATACTGAAAAACTCAACCAATTCAAGATAACTCTCAACAGCAGATTCCAAGCCTTACAAGATCTACTCAAAGAGAAAATTACCATGAAGAACAACTGGAAAGAAATCAAACAAGCACCAACTTAAATGTAACAGGAAGTGTTCGGCCCCAAGAAGCATCATCATAAGGAATGGATCTTTATGGAAACCCTGAACAAGATTTAAGAAAGGAAGAAAAGGAAAATAGCAACTAATAACAGTCGAACAAGAACAGAAAGTCAAGGCACAAGTTGAATACACAGAAGCAAACAAGCAAGTCAAGAAGAGCATTAGAACTGACAAGCAAAAATACGTGGAAGACCTAGCAACGGCAGTGGCAAAAGCTGCAAGCGAAGGAAATATGAAACAACTATATAACGCGACGAAGAAACTAGCAGGAAAATATAGTAAACCAGATAAACTGTTCAAGGACAAAGCCAATTCAATCACTGAAATTCAAGAATAGAGGAACAGATGTGTAGAATACTTCGGGGAACTCTTGAATAGACCTGCTCCATTGAATCCACTGTATATCGAAGCAACGTATACAGACCTTCATATGGATGTCACTCCACGAACGATCGAAGAAGCCAGGATGTCCATCAGACAAATCAACAGTAGGAAAGCAGCAGGACCTGATGATATACCAGCGGAAGCACTGAAGTCAGACTTAGAAGCAACTGCGAACATGCGCCACATTCTATTTAGGAGGATTTGGGAAGAGGAACATGTGCCGACAGACTGGAAAGAAGGATACCTCATCAAAATACCAAAGAGAGGAGATCCGAGCAAGTGTGAGAATTACAAAGGCATCACATTAATGTCAGTACCAGGAAACCCGATGAAAGACACCCGACTTCGAGATCAACAGACCAGATTCCGTAAGAATCGGTTGTGCACAGATCAAATCGTGACACTATGGATCATCGTTGAACAATCAACTGGATGGAATTCGTCACTATATACCAACTTCCTCGACTATGAGGCGTTTGACAATGTGGATATGTAGACCATATGGAAATTTTCTTCGACAATATGGTATACCTGAAAAAATCGTCAACACCATCCGAATTCACACGACGGACTACACTACAAAGTGGTGCATGGAGGACAGCTGACAGACGCATTCCAAGTGAGGACTGAAGTCAGACAAGGTTGCTTACTCTCATCTTTCCTCTTTCTTCTGGTGGTTGACTGGATTATGACGACTAACACGTCTGAGTGGAAGCACGGAATCAAGTAGACGACTTGGACTTCGCAGATGACCTAGCTCTTCTATCCCATACACACCAACAAATGCAGGCCAGGGCAACCAGTGTAAGCGGAAGCCTCTGCACCAGTAGGCCTCAACGTACACAAGGAAAAAACCAAGATCCTCAAATACAACATGGAGAACACCAACCCAATCACACTTGGTGGAGAAATTCCGGAAACCTTCACATACCCGGGCAGCATCACCGATTAACAAGGAGAATCTGATGTAAATATAAAGGCACGGATTGACAAAGGGCCACATTCCCACAATTGAGGAACATCTCGGACTCAAAATAACTGTCAGCCAACATTAAAGTCAGAACAGTTTCATTGTACGGAACTGAAACGTGGAGAACCAATACAACCATCAACAAAAAGGCATAGATATTTATAAACAGTTTCCTTTGCAAGATGCTCCACATCCACTGGCCGATTACCATCAGCAACAACTTACTGTGGTAGAGAACAAACTAAATTCCGAGTGAAGAGAAAGTTAGGAAAAGACGTTGGAAGTGGGTAGGACATATATTGCTGAAGTTATCAAACTACATCACGAGGCTAGACCTAACTTGGAATCCTGAAGGGAAATGGAAGAGAGGAAAGCCAAAGAACACAGAGTCGGGAATTGGAAGTAGACATGAATAGCAACTAGAAACAATGGGAAAAGATTGCCTAGGACAGATTTCGTTGGAGAATGCTGATGGACGGTCTATACTTCTCCACGAGGGGTAACAGGCGTAAGTAAGCCTTCTTACTGACAACCTGAACGAACTATAACGACATTCGACAACTGTTAGATGGAATAAATGTTTTCTTATCAGTAACGAGTTTTGACTACTGTTCCGAAGACTTTACATGAATTCTGAGGGTTCATGGGTAAGAGATTTTAGAGTTACAATAGTAGTTCGCCAAAATAGGTCGACAGAAGTCAGTAAATCGTAATAAACTCATGAGGAATTGGGCGCATTCGTTATCCTCATGGGAGCTTCCAAGTGCGAGGAATCTATATCTACGCCCTCCGACGAATTGATATTTGATCATGAAGAAAGTTTAGGATGTAAGAAGAGGTAAATCAATCTCTTCAAACGTTCACTTTCAGAGTTCTTGAATAAACGTAAACAACAAACTTCTCGAATCAAATATGGCGAACGAATTTACTGTGTTTTACAGGAATCCTGACTAAATGTCTGAGGTATAGCACACCGGAACAACTAGTATTCTGATTCTAACAAAGACTATCTTCTATAATCTTACATTGTTTAGGTTAAACTACATAAAGATAAATAACGCACAACAGCTTATACTTGCCGTAAATTGATTAAGATTAAAAAGTAACATTTACCTCAATTTTGATATTAATCAATGACAAAATATAATTAAAATTTACACATAGTAGAAAAAAAAGGAAAAAATGCTACATATATGATCCAAAGTTTAATAAATAGTAAACGAAAGAAAAAAATTATTTTGTTACGATTTGTTAAGACAACAAAGCGAGAATTTGTCAGTCAGAACAAAATCGATGGGACGCTGAATAATTAACTTTGAAAGAGAACGAAGTAGATTTGATGTGCACAGGCGATATAGAGCACTGATGACCTGATTAAAAAGGATCAAATAATGAAAAACGAACACACAGAAACACGTACAGAGAGTAAAACATTAAGACGTAACAGAGACTAAATATACCGTGCAATATTATCAAGTAACAATAAACAAAATACCTGGTTACTAACAGTATGCAAACAAGGCACTTAAAGTTGAGGATTTTTGTTTGAAAATACCATCTGTTTATTCTTTTACAAGTATATATATATATATATATTTGAGTGATATATAAGAACAACAAAAACCAGGAATTACAAATTATGAGATAGATAGAAGTCGACGTGGGGAAGATTCATCTGCATTTTAAAACACGATATGCTTCATCAATGTCCTTTCTGTATAACATAGTGAGAAGAAAGCAGCTGAGGGATTAACACAGAACACCTAGGTTTTTAATCACTCACTGACTTAATCATCAAATGCAAATTTAATACGAGGTTACTGTACAGAGAAAGAAAAAGAGGATACAGAAAAAAATATGTTCACCTACAATTACCACCATTAGTCACATGGTACCTAGGAGCGAGAATACTTTTATCTTTATTCGGGGACTGTATCTATTTTAAATAATTTTCCTGACTATGGAGATACAAAAGGAATAAACGAGTATATGAAATAACAGTACTTCAAAGACATTCTTATTATTTGCTTAAAAATGGTTGTAGTTGGTGATGTACCACACAGTATATCGATATAAAACAATATTAATCTTGAAAGTGCTCCAAGTGAACTTATATATGTGTGGTTCCCATTTCATGTGAAATTTTAACAAACGATATATAACTAGAGATAAATAGGTAACAATAATAATAATAACAAACAATTATTTAAATCTTTCTTGTTAACAATAAGCAAACAATTAACAGAGTGAGGCCGAATACAAATAGACCACTTGAATTAGAATGTGGGGTGTACTCGCGTAAAACAGCCACCTAAAATATATTTAATAATAAAAACGTAAGGTGAAATAACTTTTAAATCAGATAATTTTAAAAGAAAATGATTACTTGTTTCATGTACTACTTTTTGATAAACAGAGTATGAAACTATTATGAATGTGAATGGATAAAACAAGAATGAAATCACTATTTGTTGACATGATGTTGACATAATGTAATAAACTGAGTACGACTTGTTAAAAATTAATACGTAAGAAATATGAGGTTGACGAGCTATGAAATAAATAATCCTCTTCAATTGTTCTGTTGGTTTTTGGCTAGTGAGTAAACTATTTTGGTAAATGAATCTTTTTATCAACGGTAAGTACACATTTACATACCTTCAGGGAAATTGGACATAATTGAGAATTTAAATGATAATTAACAATCTCACGACTGTATTTCTAATCTTTAAATAGACGAAACTTGAGTGGTAATCAGTAAAGTAAACCCGTCATAGATAAATGAATTGTTTCATTAATTGTTATGACATGCTGGTCAACATTTGGGCCTCAATTTATTAGGGAATGAGTGACCTATAAACTAATTTTCTCCAGTTGTGCATGACATTTTATAATGTTAATTTTATTTTAATATTTTGTATATAAGCATAACATAAAAATCATTTTTTCTAGGGTCTCTACCAAGAAAACTTTTATATGAAATTGAGTCTCGCACTAGCGAGGAAGATGCGGATAGAAAAGTTTCGTTTGTTGTACTGGCGTCGGTGTTGCAAACAAGTAGCTTAGACTACAACTAATTTTAGAAATTCTTAAAGGACAAATGTACATCAAAACGGTAAAATCTAAACACTACATTTAATATACGTTATTATAACAAAGCTAGTTATGTTTTTGTCTATATATCCAACGACTGGATGGAGTAGCAGAATTAAGAAAAATGTAGAGTGGTACATTATAGCAACATACGGTCAGATAAAAAATCCTCGAGAATTCAGCTCAGAAGGTAATGATAGCCTGTTTTGTAAGGCTTAAGTCTAGTATTTTTACACTACTAGTAAAATATAAGTAGACTGATAGTTCTAAACAAAATTGTTTTGTTGTTGTTTTGAGCAAATGAAGATTGGAAACTAATTAATACATTAAAACCATTGTTACGTTTCACTGAAATACGAAAAATTTCTATGTTGAGTTGAACATTTTCAGCAAGTAGAATATCATCTTTCGTGAATAATCCTGCTCAATCACGAACTTTTGGTAACAATATATATGCAAAACCCTGATTCCAAACCAATGGTGTACATGGGCTCCAGTACCCTGAGGGAACAAATGGTATATAAACCAATCGTGGGTCACCGGCTACCATGGGACTGCATCTCCTTACGTTGCTCCACTGCCTTGTGGCTCAGACCTTTAGGTCGAAGGCTCCGGGTGTGGCTCCCTAAGAAAACCACTTGCTTCGGTTTGGGCACCCGGGCAGTATTACAGCCCTCACACAAATCGAATGATTTATGTGGTGCATATCTATTTGGTGCCTCCTTGTACCAATGTTTATGTGTTTAAATAATAATAATAAATTTGTAATTTGAATTTTGGAATACTTTATATTTAACTGTCAACGAACAACTCTAGCTATATACACTGAATAAATGTACAAATCTAGTACAAGTTATCTACCTTGTTCTCCAACAGATATTAATATCTGATCACTATGAAAAACTGGAATAATTAAAGATGAAAAAGAACAAGTATTATTTTAGGTTCAGTTATTGACTAATGCAAATAGTCCAGCCAATAAAAACTGGTAACTTACCCAACCACCATGACTCTCGACCCATTTGTATATACCATGAATAAAAACAAATTTAACAACAAATTTTATGACATCACCAGCAAGACCACTAAATCCTTTTGAAATTGCATTGACTACCACTTTGACAGCGAACATGAACAATACCACAATTCGTGACCAATTAATAATCCCATCCGAAAAAACTCTAAAATAAGTCAATAAAATGGCTCTTTAACTTTATTTCTCCACAGTATAGGGTTGTAAAGATTGTTTAATTTCACTGAAATCACGAACCGACCGAAGTTCGTAATCTATAGACCAATGAACTGGGATCAAATCGTGTGCAAAGTAAGGGTTCGGGCGCGGGACCGAAGGCTCTGGGTCCGATTCCCGTTTGCAGGGTCGTGGATGTGCCTTGTCGAGAATTCCAATACTAGGATGAAACAACAGTCTAATGCTTCCAGTTTTTCAATGGTTGCTTAATTTTGATCGGTTCGTGACTTCAATGAAATATATCTCTTTCTAAAAATGATTTTAAAATAAATTATTTGATAGAAACAGAGATTACCGATGAACTCCTTTAACTTGACAATATTGAAACGTTAAGCCAATGTAGAACATATCCAATATGGTTTGATGCATAAATTAGTCTAATGATAATAATGAAATTTATTTTACAACTATCAGAAAATAGATAAACATAAGGTAATCTAGTAGTAGTGTAGTAGTTTTCTAAACTTTTATTTTCACTAGAAAGAATTCTTCACGCGAACAGTGCTCACTTTTTACCGCTTTCAAAGCCTTTCCTCTTATGGTTTGTTGCCTGTAAATTAATTTTTTCCGACTTCTGAGGACTTTCTAAGTGGATCAGTTTGCAATCACTGGCCTAAATCAATACTCTTTAATCTGTCCCAAGAAATCGAAGCAATACATGTCTTTTGATTTGAAATGAGCTAGGAAAAGAATAATAGGTTGTAGTATCTAGTGTATCAAAAACTGAATGTAGGAGTTACCTTATGCACAAGTTGTATCACTAGTAGATAACGCGATATTGGTAACTGAACGGTGATCGATTGGAAATCATTTAGCTTAATCATGTACTAAAAATCTTTTTGAAAATAACCTGAGTGGCAGTAAATGGTTTGTGACTCTCAGTGGTTCAATCTAAAAATAACCACAATGAAAGTCGAATACATGATAATCAGTATTTTAAAAACATTAGGCGAAGGAGTTAGTAAAGATTAGTTAGTTGTTAAGCTTAAGAGAAAATATTTGTCTACATAATGCATGCGAAACGTTTGAGTTACGGACAAGCAAGGAAATAAGAACGGAATGAAATCTCTTTATTATAACTCCTAAATAAACCCAATGGATATAGTTTAAAATATGTTCACAGAAAGAAGGTCGGTGGAAGTGAACCGGGGAATCTAAAAAAATAATTCGACTCTAGTGTAATCATGGGACTTCAGAATAGCCAATGAGCGAAAAAGTTTAAGTTTCATAGGTGTAATATGAGTTTGCAAAGCATTACAGATATGTATTTTGCAGGTCAAAAGATCCTTCATAATCGTTATCTTTGTGTACATTACAAAAAATAATACGGAAATAACATACATAACGACATCTGGATACATAAAGTTAATTGGATATTTAGTCGTTTAGATTTCACGCTATGTGAATATAATTCTATTATTAAAGTATAACTATGAATAATTGTCGATACAAAGAGCCAAATTTGTGTAAAAAGTTATTATGTGAATGAGAAATGTATCGTGGTAACTTATTTGTCTTATCCTTAGTTCAATTCAAAAGATGAGCAAGCCTGGAGATAATTAATCTTCCTTAAACTACAGAAACAAAAAAACATGTGAAGAAATCTTAATAGGTGATATTCGAAATAAATCCTCAAAACTGAATGAGAAATATCAGTCAGTATTAGTCGACTTAAGGCTTGCTACAAATATTTATAGGTCTAAGCTGTTATATGCCACGTGAGGATATCGTGAGAGGAAGTAAGCAAGATGAAAATCAAAATTACAGAATGATTTGAAACTCAAGATTCGGAGGAAGACAGAATCAATATGATTCTGTCATCGCGAACTATTTTGAGCCATGCTAACTAACTATCAATCATGATTAAACTATGGATCCCTACCAACATGAATCAGACAAACAACCAACGACTTTGTGAATTGATATCATACCTTGATCTGACCATCCCTGACTTTTTCGACCTAACAGCACGCTAGACAGTATCGCACTTAGAGGTTGACGGCAGCTAAACACAGGTGACACATATTTTAATCACCTCAGATGACGAAAGTCTATACCCTCACCAATCGACTTACCTCAGTATTACTCACTTAATGGTTCAACTATAAGCAAGTAGTTATTTAAGGAAACATAAGGTCAAATAGTTTCAGCCTATGCATTTCCTACTTGTATAGACTACGTTTAGCAACCATGATATGATACAGCTGTACTACAGATGGAGTAAATTTTGCAAAAACTGAGAGCTTTTCAGTATCTATGCTGAGAATTCACTGCCCCCAAATGCCCTGGTACGACCGAAAGTGGAGAGAGTCCGCTCTCCCTCTCGAAATGCTCTCACACGGTCACTCGTATATAGCCTCTTCCGGGGAAGTCCTATTCACTGCCTTCTCGTGGCGGGGGTGTTGTGTACGGAATTGAAAAGATGAAAAGCGAATGTCCGGCGTTTTAACGGGGCCGATGGACACGGAGAGTCCATCTAGGGGAGTTGCAAAACCCTGATTCCAAACCAATGGTGCACATGGGCTCCAGTACCCTGAGGGAACAAATGGCATATAAACCATAGGACTGCATCTCTTTACGTTGCTCCACTGCCTTGTGGCTCAGACCTTTAAGTCAAAGGCTCCGGATGTGGCCCCCTCAGAAAACCACCTGATTCGGTTTGTGCACCCAGGCAGTATTCCAGCCTCCACACAAATCAAATGAGATTTGTGTGGCGCATATGTATCTGGTGTCCCCTTGTACCAGTATTTATGTGTCAAATAAATAAATAAATAAGTGAGACTTCTAAGATAAGTGAAGTGGTTTAGATAATTGACTAATACCCCCTATGGCAAGACAAAGCACTGACATAGATTAGTTATGGGGCAATGTTTAGCATTTGGTGAAAGAAAAACGCATTCCAGGCATCTCTGTAGTGTTTAGAAAATTAAACTTTTATAGAAGTCTGCTAAACAGAACTGTTAGTTGGGTGTCCAAAATGAACAAATAAGTGGTTAATTCCAAAAAAAATTAGACAAAGAAACGTCTTTAAAAAAACTAAAAAGGAAAAGTTAGGAATCTCTGGAGAAAGGCTCTTAATGTAGCCGAATCATATGATGGTTTATCATAGACTCTAACTTGATTGATAATGTTCGAGTAGAGGGCACTCAAGTGGTGGGTGTACTTATTTGGTATGCCTCTTAAAGGACAAACTATTATGAGGTCTGCCAACCAAAAAAGTCAAATTAAATCTCCACGTCAGGAAAATACAACAAGAGTCAGGGAACAGTAAGTGTGGTGACTATCAATGTTTATACTTTAGACACTATATTAGCCAAACTTTATTATGGGAAAATTTCTGTTCATACTTCTAAACTAGGATGATTAGTAACTGTGATCAGTTTGAAGGAATCACGTTTAGCCTCCAAAACCATAATTTTCTTAGTTAACCTGACGGTTAAAACAAAACCAGCTTTGAGATATACGAAGTTGATCGACCAACATCAGATACTCTTCGCTTAGCTAGTTGTGCTTTTTAAACTTCATTGACATGAAAACATGACAACGATCTCCCATTCAAGCTGCTGATGAGTGATGGGGGACTGGAAAGCAAATGACAGCCAGTTAGACTTCAGCGTTCAACTTATCGTTGTAGTTGTTTGGTGTAAGAGTAGACCACGGTTCCACCATTTCCAAAGACAGTTTCAAGAACAGTAAACTTTGTAACGACAATTTGTTAGTGAGTTCAAATAACTGCCTTTCCTATCACTGTTTTTCGTTATATTCAAACCATGATTACCATATAAGTTAAAAACTTAGTGACTTTATTTTACAGCAATAACTGAGATAAGATAAGAATTTAAAAACAATTTAGTTGGGTGGGATCAACTGAGAGTCACAATTTCATAAAACCATAGATTCTTGGATTTTTGTTTTTCAAATCGAATACGATCTTAAGAAAAAAGATTACATTTTAAACTAGAAGCAGTAGTTAGTTATAAAGCTAACTGATGTTAATTTCTCACGTGAACTTTTTAGAGTTGGCATCTTTATATTAGTAGAGGAATATCGCCATAAAAATTTACTCACGGTAGCATGTGAAACATAGTTTAAATCTTAAATATAGGCAGAAAATTACTATCCGCAAAACATTATCTCATACATGCCACCATATTGACTCTGGAGGTTTTAATACCACAAAAGATCGAAAACGTTAAGATTTCAGTTCACTGAACTGTAGCAAACAAGCTGACAACATGCTCTACCACCTCTCACAAGAACCAATCGATAACACCACAGACGTTTAGGGATTCATGGATATTTTGATTCTTACTTTATACTTTTTTCTAATTAATTGCAATACACACTTATTAAATAAATAAACCGGACAATTTGTTATAAGGCTAATTAGAATCAGGTCAAACAAACTAGTAGAAAGAATAACAAATGTAAAATGAAGATCTAGACCTGGAAATTAAGACGTTTTTGCTAGTAACAAGAGACTGATAACGAAATAATCAAGTGTTTTCGCAACTTTCCACAGATAATCTCCATTTTATATTGTACGGGATCATGAAACAATCCAAAAAACAGGACACAAAACACAGTATCTCCTAAGAGATGCTTCTACTAGATAAAGTAATATTCATAATAAATATTTACAATAAAAATAGCAAGAAGGTGGAAAAACATTTACCCTTTTGCAATCTGTAGAAACTTTTCATAGGTGGCTGACTTGATCCACATTTCAGCATCTTGATTCAATCGTTCGCCATATTGAGCTTCTAACTCATTTGATATTTCTATAAGACGACCAATTAAAGCTTGTGTCCTAAAATTTATTTTACGACGTTTATATTGGTCTTACTCCATATCAGTTGAAGTTCGCCGGCGTTGAACAATCCCTGCACTTTGTTTTAGCTTTAATCTGACAAATTCTTCAACTATTGTTTCCGTTTCCATCGTCTTCAAATCGTCCCCATCAGCTTGATGGGTATTCATGGGATCGTCACATTGACCGGAAACGGAACAGTCACCAGACATGGTCTATGAAGAATGGATTTAGCGAACAAATGTATGGCAATCATGATAAAACTACTGAAGCATCAGGAATACATATAATAGGGATCTACAATTCACATTATGTTGTTCGTAAAAAGGCTACTAAAGATTATGAAAACCCTTGAAGGTCGGTAGAATCACTCTTCAGTGTTGTTTATTTCTTCCAAGTATTTGTTTTGATAACAGACCACTAGCAAGTCACTTTCAGAGACGATTTGATTCAGCAAAGATTCTTTAAATTGCACCACCAAACTTGCGTACCTTTTAATTATTGCTGATAACAACAATTTACGAATCCCGTAACTATATGACCATTTTACAAAAACAACTTGACCTTTAATGTCAACCTTTGCCGCTGAGTTCGTAGATTCACAACAGTAGTTGATGTCTGTGGGTTTCTACGCAGCCACTAGGTCCTACTAACATTAAATAAGTATTGGTGGTAAAATATTGAACGGATATGAGCATGGTTATGTGAAGGGAAAATCAGGGTTCTGATATTTTTTATGAAATCTTAGTCTCAGTCAGTCCATTAGGGCCACATAGGTTGCCAAAAAGTTTAAAATCAAAAGAGAATTTTGTTGGTTTGGGAGTTCGGGGTAGTAATGTAATGACGAACAGAATTCAGTTTCAGAGTGATATCAGGCCTTCCGAATCACTTGCAACAACGGCTGGAGTACTCCATGCTGCTTAAGAGTATTTCCGTCATCACTTTGTATACGGAATATAATTACGGTTTTCGGGAAAGCCTTAAAAGTGGTTTCACGACATGAAAATGCAAGGATGTTGTACTGGAAGCACTATCAAAAGATCCCGAAGTGTGTGAATACCTTATATAGCCATTAAAAACTCTGTGGATGTTTATTATCTTACAAGACTTACGAAGTTCGTTAAAGATATTGCATTAAGACAACTAATCCATGTTTACGAAAGCTAATGAAACCAAACGAGTTCCAGCAGTAAGTGCGAAACAATCGAACCTATTACCAACTCATACTTTCCATAATTTGCAAAACACTCATGTTTTGAACGGAAGACAATATGCTTCCATGAAAAAGGATATTCATCAAGAATGGCCGTAGCTCTAAAATAAACGAAAACTTTTCATAACATTCGAAAAGATAGCCATATGTTTGAAACTAACTTTTTAAGGTGGCTAGAAAACGTTTAAACTTTAAAGGACAACAGGACGTCTTTATTAAGAATCTGTAAGACAAACTATTCAGGTAGCGCACACTTTTGGAAACCTACCTCAAACCTTGACCTTTTACGGTAAGCCGATTCAGTAGGCTTGGAATTTTATGACATTAGCTTTAGTTATATGTACTTATAGAACTTCCGTATGTAACCACGACCTGGCAGTCATCTCGAGATGTTCAACTCTTGGTTAGAGAGTCTAACCAAGTTCTTATGGCTGCAGACGACATTCCTTAAATGTCAAATAATCATCTTGGAATCAACTAAGCTCGCACAACAGGTCATCAAAGCACCCATCAGTATCTCAGAAGACTCATCAAACTAGGTAATTGAAGTCTTACAACTATGGGCAAACAACACCTAGCAATCTGTTTAACGAAGCACACACAGATACAGGTTTTACAATCGAACGTGAAGGAGGCAAATTCCATTTATTAGATATTGAAATCATACGAACGTCAAACGGCACACTACATAGATCCATCTGCCACAAAAATACGTGCAGTAGAATCTGTTTAAATTAAACATATCCAGTTCTATAGGTTATAAAAAGGGGATTGCATAAACTTTTTTGACTGAGCTCATAAACTTTGTTCAAAGGAAAGCTTGGAAGAACTTACCTTCATTATGAATCTTCTACGTGAAAATTCTTGTCCATCAAAATTCATCGGGAGGTATGTAGTGACTTACTTTTATCACGAGAACACGATTGGTTTAATGAAAACAATTATTGTTATAACCAATTGTACCAGTGACTGTTTTAATGTGCTCTTCGTTTAACTGCGCTAAAAACATCCATTATGCTTACTCCGATTGTGTTCTCGCGCGAATCCGGCTACGCTCAGTAACGAAGCTTGTATCCTAGCACAATCTTGATATTCTTTCGATACCACGAGATCTCCAGTAAATATATCTCGACTTGGTCCATTAACTGCCTTCTGATATTTGGCTTCCGAGAAATTTTATGGATATCCTGGCACGCGTTCCTTTGTAGTGGTGCTCATAGTCAACTGGAACTCGACACCACGCTACAGGTATACCAGAATCAAAGTGCATCTTAAATGCGATACAGTGGAAAATAAAACTTGTTTCTTATATTTGCATTTTATAGATGAAATCACTTCAATAATCAATAGCACGATTAATGTCACGATGAAGGTTGCTTATCCACCAACAAGACTGACGACGTTACGTGAAACGAAATGCTCGTTCAAGCAAGCAGGAGTTGATGGGTTCTCTTTTATCAGTACCCCTATCTACATCTACTAATTTACATGTACGTGCCAAGGTACATAAATTAGACAAACAAGGATAAGTGTATATGTTCGCATTTCCGAGTACTTTTCAAAAAAACTGAGACTGTAGGGCCCAGTGGCTCTAAACCGTGCACTAGCTTGGTATCTAATTGATACCGAACAAACCATGGGCATTCTACAATCCTTCAAAATCATTAGTAGACGGAAAAATCAGTGTCTCTTTGGTTTGCCAAAGCAGTTGTAGTAAAAAGCCAAATGTGATCTATGTATCCAGAAAGAGACTGTAATCAATTTATCGTTACCTTGGTGAATTGTTAAGGTTGTTTTATTAGTGTTTATTTGCCATGTGGTCATCGCCAAACTAATTCCTGTTTTGTGTACACCAAAATCATTCTTTTATTCACCAGCTTTTATTCCCCCAATTCTTTAAACGTATGTAAGCTCTCGAAATCCCGTTCCGTTATTGCGTAACCCATACTGTCGATTTCTAATTCTAGTAGTCCTACGTAGGTCTTTTGCAACCTCCATAATTACCACACAGTCTATCTTACCCGTTTCCGGACCTCATTTAATTTCTGCCTGACCTCCCCACATGTTTCCTGAACTGTGTCTCAAATGACTTCACATCTGTTCCTATAAAAATATATATCTAAGTATACAGATAGGCATTATTAATAGTCTTTGTTATTTTAATTCTTTCTGTCATTAATTTTCAGTTGTTTAACGTTATATTTAGCCTCAGTGTTACATTTCAACTGATGATAAACCGCGAAATGTGACGAATTGCTATCATTCCCCTTCAATCATTGTTTCGGCTTTAGTCAAATTCATAAAGGGAACCAATTGCATTGAACATGTAGAGGGTAAGGGTCCTATTTTTTGGCAGAAATCTTTCAACATTCGATAGAGAATGATGGAAAATGGGATACTGACAAAATAGGGAAGTCGAAAAATAATTTAGTGTTCTAATCCTAGTAGGATATTTTCATCTAATTCCAAATCCACTCAGGTGAACTGTTACAAGTCCATCAGATTGATCAAGAGTAGCAAAGCACCAGATTCAAACAAACTACAAGTTAAAGCTCTAAAGTTAAATATGGAGTCGATCAGATTATTATATCTTATATTTTTTCTGAACGGTCTATGATGTCAAGGTAATAATAAAAAAGCGCTCACAAACAAGAAAAGAAATTTTGGGACACTGTTTTGCTAATTTCGGAATCTACAAAGTACTAGTATTTGGTTTTGTACTAGCCTTACCCTACAGTTTATAAATTTTCTGATAATTTATAGCGCGCTGTCCTATTTCCTATAATTTTAACACTAGTGGAATTTAAATCTTATTTCTGAACTACTATTTTCGGCTGCACTGTATTATTTTGGATATAATTGCATTTTCCTCACTCCTTGTAAGTTGTGGTCCTGCTAGTCAAATATTTATTCACCTACCTCTTTTTAGTTGACTAAATGAGGAATAAACCGGACATAGAGCTCCATATAAATCGTCTTCCATCTGTGCTTGCCAACCATTTAGGCAGTAATAATCCAGTGCAAGGGAGACTGAGTTCCAATCGAGTGGGTTAATTGGATCTCATTAAGACAGTGAGAAAAGAGGACTTTGCAGACTCTGTGACTACATTCGATATTGACGAGCATCTATATGCCACTAGGTTAACGGCCTTTAAACAACTTAGCTGATCCTCTGTCATGTGAGAAGCTAGTCTACATAACCTCACTGTATAGTTACATTACTGTCTATCGTAATCCGCACTATATGGGCAGTTAAAATTACCTTTTTGCAGAAGCCTTTAGAAAACAAAAACACGCCTATTAGCAGAGCGGCAAATTCAACACATGGGCGTAGGTACGTAGAATGATTCAACTTGAGTTTCCGAACCACGAGTGTTCGGTGATGTTTCCGTGCCAAACTTCATTACCTTCACCACCTTTCGTCTACCGTTCAGAGTGCAAAGATAATACTGTCGAGGCGAGACACATTCAGCTTAAATTATCATACAATTAGGAATGAGTGCTATCCCACTGCCACTACCTCACTCTTCCGCTGATTTGATACTGAAGATGGCACAGGTATTCAGTGTTTGACAACGCTTTTACCAGTAACACCCTCTAATATAATTCGGACCCACCAAGAGAAATCAAAAGACAGGGTCGAGGAGATCGGAAGAGTGTATTTGGCGATAACCAATATATCGGAATTCTCTGATCTAATCTGGCTAGCGATTGCGGTAGATCTTGAGCACAGCGTCACCACACGTGATCTGGTGCGGATGAATGGCCGAGCGCCTTCAGCTAGATGAGTCCACTAAAACATATGGTCAGCATCCAATGTCGAAAACTTACAGAGCTATTTATTTTGGGGATTTATTTACCGCTACAATACAAAACCAATCGGGTTTATTTCGTGAAGCGGGTTGTCATGAGACTAACAAAAAACTACTGTGGCACAATGGAAGAAACTTTTAGTTACATGAATTCAAAGCATACTACAAACCAACTAACACCCTTGGA